CACCACACACACACACACACACACACACACAGAGGGGTACCAATAATTTGTCCACATATAAATTGACTCTTCATCCAAAATGAAACTATTATAAGGTGAAAGGAAAGGCAAAAAAAAAAAAAAAAAAAAAAAAAGATTCCAGCTCTTACCAGAGTCAATAGCTTGCATAAGACATTCATAAGTAGTCTGAACAAGTTTCTTTGCTCCTTCATCCACCTCTCCGACATAAAAGGTCTCATTGAGGTCACCATGGAAACCGTTGTGGTAGACGGTGATGTCCACTGTGGGAGAGACAAGAGAGAATCTTACAGTGATTGAAATGACATCAAATCTATTTGATTAGGTAACAAAGAAGCAGAAGGTTCAAGTGATCGTCAGTGGGTGGAACGGACCTGATCAAGTGGAATTGTGAGTGGGAGAAATTGTCATGAAATAGAGGGCAGGCAGTAAGAATGGAGGAGCACCACGGTGAAAGGTTAATGGCATCATTTGTCTTGTGGGATCATGCTGATGACTTGAAGGCAAGTCCATCATAAAATGAGGGGAGTGTCTGATGGAAGTTAAGTTAGAATATTCATAAAGAGGCTCACATAGGACCCTTGCTGACATAATTTCAGGATCCAAGTAGTACCATTCATCACACAGAGAGAACGCGCGCACACACAAAAGCATGTGCCCCTATCAGTGGTGTGCTAAGCACATTAGATGCCCGGGGTTTTGATGCCCCCCCTCAAGTTTGTTAAACCAGGGTGGAGTGGTGGGAGTGTGATGAGTGGGGGAAGAACCCTTCAACATGTGGTGCGGTGGCATTTTTACTCTTCAGGCGTCCGCCCTACTCCGGGATCAAACACCACCACTTCTCCAGTTTGCGAGAGCAGAGCACTAACAGCCGAACTAAAAGCAGGGATGAGAGTGGCTAGTGATGAAAAAAAAATCTGAAAATCAGCCGAGGGTCTGGGGGCCGCAGGCGAGCTAGATTATCGACCCCCGAGCTAGATTATCGGATATATTTCCTCAATCCAGTAAGGGAAATTAAGGATCTATTGTTCCTCAAGAGTTTGAAAAAGCTGGACTGGACATTGAAATTAGAATAAAGTTGAGTATGAACAAGTGCAGAAAACCACGCAAATGTCAATCAAGCATACCATTTAGTATATCGCCATCTTGTAGTGGTCTTCTGTCTGGGATTCCATGGCAGATGACTTCATTGACAGACGTGCAGCAGGATTTGGGAAAGTTATAATAGTTGAGAGGCGAAGGGTAGCAGTTCCTTGCAGTACAAGCCTGAGGAGACAAGTATGGATAAAATGGAGGAGGACAAAACCAAATATCCTGCAGGTCAGGTGTGCCAGATTGATTTTTCTGACTGTAATCGCGTCATTATATAAGAGACTGAATAGGAACAAAATCCAGGAAACAAATTTTTTTCAACTGGTGTTCAATTGATTTTTCTAAACAGGGGTTGGTAACAATTAAGTGCTTGCAATATCTCGAGCGAAAACTATGTTGTATTTTGAAACGATATTACAAACAAGAGACAATAAGTTGATGCACATGATTGGTTTTCGTGGGCCACAAGAAATAATGATGATGGAGGCTGGATCTGGGTCCCAATCAGCGGGATCAGTTGCAATGCATTTTTGTGAATGAGAAAAGTCATTTGCACATTTGTCGAAGGAAATCTAAGGTGCTTCATGAAATGTTTTGTAAAAGATATGTTCATTAAATTTCAACATTTTCCTAATGTTCTTGTGCTTTTTTATACCAAAACAAAGGAAAGACATGATATTTTGGTGATTTATAGCAGATTATAATATAATTTTAAAACCCTTATGTTACAATTTCTACAATTTTTGTAGATTTTTGCGTGTTGTCATCTTTAAATCAAAGACAAAGCATAAAAATTGTGTGATATGAAATATTCCAATTCATGTTTTATATATATAGATATATTTTAAATTTTGGTCATAGCACAGTACCGCTTTTATTGTCCATAGAGGGCAAAAATACAAAGAAAAAAAATAAGAACTATATATGTATGTATAGCGCTGATGCCACTGAACATGTCGAGTGGTTGAAAGTAAAATAAATATTCAGGAATAATAGTTTTACAATTTTTGTAAAATTGAATGTTGCGCTATATAAAATTATTTACATCGACTGCAGCACAAGGGTCCGGCCCATTTGACATCTACCAAGCCCGAATGTGGCCCACAATGTGAAATGAGTTTGACACCCCTTCGCCTTAGGGCCTCTAACCAGAGCGTGACATTAGAGAAATTTAACTGCCACGTTGGTTTTCCTGTCTCAGACATTGTATCAGAAAATGTTCATAATTTAAGATTTCAAACTAAAAGATCATTTGTCTGATATTATTGATGAATGTAAAAGCGTGTATTCAGGAGAAGCCGAAGTGTGTGTGTGTGTGTGTGTGTGTGTGTGTGTGTGTGTGTGTGTGTGTGTGTGTGTGTGTGTGTGTACCAGATGTACTGCATGGTCAATTTCTTCTGTTGTAACACCGGGTTTGACCATTTTAGCTGCGATATCCAGGACTTCACGTGCCAGCTGAAAGTCCCAATGCATAATAAATGAACAGGGAATCATGACAACCAAGCCTGTCAGTATATGCAACACAAAAGAACGTTTATGTTACCCTGCACACCACTCTCATCCCTTCGATGTCGTCAGGAGGGAGGATCTTGATCTGTGCTGTTCCCTTAAGAAACTGCTCAGATTCAGACATCCCTGTAAGACCAGTGCAATCATTCAAATGTTGGTAAAGCCCAATAAACTGACTAAAATAATTTTCAATGGAGCGATGGCTCGCCTATTTGGAGGCATACATTTTTTGTACATTAATGGTGAATCAAAATTGGACATCATCGCATTTTGTTTGATTCAGTAAAAAAGGGGAAGAGGGAGCAAAAGAACATTTTTTTAAAAGTAAAAATTTTGTGTGCGTGTGTTTATATATACATCCACTTCCAACACTGCTTATCCTGTACATGACACTAAAGCGGACGACACCTTGAACTGGTTGCCGGTGGCACACGCGCACGCACGCACGCACGCACGCACGCACACGCACACACACACACAGATTATATACACGTATACACACACACACACACACACACACACACACACACACACACACACACACACACACACACACAAGTGCTCGTCAAATGATTAGAATATCATGAAAAAGTTGATTTATTCCAGTCAAACTATTCAAACAGTGAAACTTGTGTCTTGCATATATTCGTTCCACATATATATTTCAAAGCATTTTAATTTAGATGAATCAGAGATGAAAGTGGACTTTCCTGAAAATTCCGGGAGAAAAAATACATGATATATATATATCAGAGCTGTCAAACGATTAAAATGTTTAATCTAATTAAAAATGCAACTGTCATAATTAACTCAAATTAACTAAAAATTAATCGTGATTACTCACGCATTTTTGATCGTTTCTGAATTTCCTTTTATATTTTTTG